ATTTAAAAAAAAAATTTTTTAAAAATTTTAATTTTTTATAAAAGTAAATCAGAAGGGAATTTATAGTAAATAAGCAGGCAAATTTGCCTGCAAATCGCTATAGTTTAAGGGATAATAGAGCTCTACAGGCATTTCTTTTATAACTCATTAAATGGTTAGGAAAATCTTGAGATACACAATTTGTATATTTAGGCATAAGATTAGGACTATTGCTAAATATATCAGCAATATTATATAATTTACAGCATTTTTCGCAAGCTGTATATTTTATTAAATGTGTACAAATACTAAGACTCTTATATGTCATATAAAGAGATAAAGAAAAGGTTGAAAATGTGGTTTCATCTAAATTAACAAGAATATAGTATAAAAATTTAAAGAGAGAATTTGTAGCTACATTAGATAATTGAAATTTCTCTTGGTACTTTAAGATCTATACAAAAATCCATGAAAAAGTATTGTTTAATTCTTTAGTATATCTAAAATCATTTTCCTCTAATTCTACTTCTAGAGCATCAAAATTTACTTGATTGTTTTCCTCTAAATCATCAGATGAATATTCTGAAATATTGTCTTCAAAATCTCTTTTATTATCTTCTTCAAGTGCATCATTATCACTATCATCATGAGAATATTTCATTTATTACTTCTAGAGGTAAAATTTTAGAAGTTTTGTTTTTTTGAAAATTAATTGGTATCCTTTTTACTAAATATGAGTATTCTTCTTGTGATTCTTTATTATAGTTTATATTGATTTGTAATCCTAAAGGTATTAAATTAATTAATGGTACTTCTGGTGCTTTAGAAAAACTAGCAGCAGTTTCTTATTGTTGAGATACAATTGTATATTTAGCATAAGCTGCTTTAGACTTTGGATCTACCAATTTTTCTTTATAACCCTGACAATAGCATAGTACAAATTTTTGAGTTTAAGAAGGATGAGCATAAGAAGTTTTTTAAACGCTTTGAGTGTTAGATTTATAAGGCATTTTAACAAAATGTAAAAGAAAATTTTTATTTATTTGATTATTATAAATTATATTATAATTAGCGTAAAGTTCAATTTATTTTATTAAAGTTTAATTTATTATATTTATTGCATATATATAGATTTACTTAAGATTATTTTATCTAATTTAAACTTTTTCTTCTTTTTACCTTTTTTAGTTTATTTAATATTTTTCCTTATTCTATAATGATGAATAAATACAAGTAAGTAAAAGAATTTTTTTTTAAATATTATAGTAGAATAACTTTATTGCAAAAAGAAAGAGGTAGTAATTGAACACTATACTCTTATTGGAAAGATACTTTACACCTAGAAGATACTCCATACCCAGAAGATATTCCATATCTAGAAGATATTTCACGTTCTTATCAAGAAAATATCCTGTTAAATAAAGATAATAGTCAAATATTATACTTTCCGTTAAACAAAAATACAAGTCAAACTCCATTCTCTTCATTAAACAGAAATAGAAGTCAAACTCTATCCTCTCTATTAAACAGAAATAGAAGTCAAACCCTATACTCTTATCAAGAACAAGAAGGTACTTTACTAAACAGAAATAGAGGTCAAGTTCTATACTCTCATTAAGAAAATATTGCTTTAAATATAAGAGAAAAAGAATATAGGGGTATTAATGAAGAAAATCATAAAAGAAACGAAAGTAGAGAAAGAGATCAAAAAGGTAATTTTATAATAATGTTTTTATTTCAATTAGACTAATATTTTTTTATTAGAAATTACAGAATTATGTTCAGTTGTTACAGATTTAGCAAAAGAAGTAAGAGAATTGTGAGAACTATAATATGAAAAGAAAACTCTTGGTAGTCATGAAAATTAAATAAGAGCATAACATTCTTTATCTTCTGGCCTATTATATAAAGCCTAAAAAGCTTTAGAACTGATAAATTATGAATATAAGAAATCATTCCAGATTAGTATAAGCTAATTGAATATTAAAGAAAGTTTAATTATTTTATTTGTTTAATTTTACTTTTTATTGTAAGATAATATTGTATAAATATTAAAGGGTTTAGATGAATCTTTAGCAATAGATTATAAAAATCATTGAACAGATATTGAAGAGAAAGTAATTCAAAATACCATTCTGATTATAAAGAAAATACTCAGTCCTGAATTTCAGCATACTAATATAGAAATAAAGAAAGTTTTACAGAATTTTCATTGTTATTAAAGAAATATATACATTGTTTCAATAGATCCTCTAAAATTGAAGGCAAACAAACAAAAGACTGGTATAAATATTAGGAGAAAAGACGTAAGTATTAGTTTTAATTGATATAAATTTATATTTTAATTTGCGATAATACTACTTATTTATTTATTATAAAAGAAGAAAGAAAGATGCCAAAGAGGATTTCAGCATATGGTAAAAAATAAAGATCAGATGCTTATAAATCTACAACCTTTGATATCATGGAATAATTGGATTGAAGGCTTAGAAAGAGTTATTGGCAATTTAGGCTATAATTTAGATGAAGTTTCTGAATCAGATATTGAGAAAGTATAAGAAGAAAAGGATAGAAATATTCATTCATCATGAAAAGAAAGCTCAAACTATGTATTTTACGTATATGATAAGCAATGGAGGTCTAATAGAGTAAGTTAAATATTTAAATTAAAACTTTCTTTAATTAATTCATTTTAACAAGTCTTCTTTACATTTTATTAATTAAAATTTATTTCAAGTTTGAAAACTTTTGTGATATGCTAATTCAATAAAAGATAGTATTCAAAATATAAAAATTATGAAAAAAAGGTGATATGAAGACCAATTATATGTAGAAAACGATTATAAACTATCTTGCAATGCATCAGAATGAACTATTTCAAATTCATATCATTTTGGATAAATAGTTATATTTAAAATTTTATATTTTCAGCAAAGTAAGCAATTGATTAGTATCATGTGATTGGAATTTATACTACATTTCTAAAAATATTACACTATAGTATTATATTATCAGAAAATTTTTTATTTATTAATGACTGCAATATTTAATATTAAATAACATTTAATATAAACAAATAAATTTTATACAAACATCAAAATTATATTATATGCCTATTGTTGAATATATAAAAAATATCAAAAAAACTAAATATTAATATTGATAGAATATTTTATACAAATCGAAAAATATCAACATTTCAAATTGTTTACTAATATTCATATTAATTTATCTAGTATAACTTAACTGAAATTAATACTGAAGGTCCTCGATCTGCACCAAAAATTGGTTAAGATCTGTGCATACATATTAAACCTAATTCAGAACAAAATCAGTGTTAGTTAATATTGATATCAGATTCATGAATTTTACCTAGCTTTTCTTTTTTCGACCTGTAAAATAAACTCAAATAATATATTAAATCAATATTATTTAGCAAATCGATTTAATCCAAAAGTTTAGTTCATTAAGATAATAAAACCATTATCACTAAGGAATGATAATATCATCATACCTTAGAAATAATTAAACAATTATTCCTTAGGAATAAAAAACTATCATTTTTTAGATATGATAAAATAATTATTCCTTAGATATAATAATACTATCATCCCTAAAGAATGATAAAATTATCGTCAATAATACCATCATATTTTAGGTATAATAAAATTATCATATTTAAGAAATGATAATACTATCGTTTTATAAGTACGATAAAACTATTGTATCTAAAAAATGATAATACCATCATTTCTTAGGTATAATAAAACTATTATATTTAAAAAATGATAATACTATCATTCTTTAGAAATGATAAAACAATCATTCCTTAGGAATGATAAAACTATCATTTCTTAAATATGATAATATCATCATTCCTAAAGAATAATAAAACTACCATCCCTAAGGAATGATAATACCATCATATCTTAGGAATGATAAAATTATCATACCTAAGTGATGATAATACTATTATTCCTTAGGTATAATAAAATAATCATTCTTTATAAACAATAAATATATCTTACCTTAGGAATAATAAAATCATTATTCTTTAGATACAATAATACCATCATCCCTAAGGAATGATAAAACAATCATTCTTTAAGAATAATAAATGCATTATATCTTAGGAATAATAAAACTATCATTCCTTAGATATAATAATACTATTATTCTTAAAGAATGATAAAATCATCATCCCTAAGAAATAATAAAATCTTTATTACTTAGATATAATAAAATCATAATTCCTTAGATATGATAAATATATCATACCATAAAAATGATAAAACCATTATTCTTTAAGTATAATAATACTATTGTTTCTTAGCTATAAAAAAAATCATCTCTAAGGAACGATAAATACATTATTTCTTAAAAACAATAAAACTATTATTCTTAAGGATAATAATACAATTATTTCTAAGAAATGATAAAACCATCATCCCTAAGGAACAATAAAATTATCATTCCTTAGATATGATAAAACTTTTATATCTAAGAAATGATAAATGTATTATTCCTTAGGAATGATAATATCATTGTATCTAAAAAATAATAAAACTATCGTATTTTAGATATGATAAAATTATCATACCTAAGAAATGATAATACCATCATTCCTTAAGTATGAAAAATAATCATTCCTTAAGAATAATAAATATATAATACCTTAGAAACAATAAAATAATCATATCTTAGAGACAATAATACCATTATTTCTAAGGAATGATAATACCTATCATACCTAAGAAATAATATAATCATTTTAATCAGATGTCAATTAGTTATAAATAAGATAGTTCAAATTTTAATATATACTAATTGGCTATAAGTATGCCAATCAGCTATAAATAAGATAGGTCAAATTTTGGTTAATTCTTGGCTGATTTTCTAATGTATACAAATCGGCTAGGCTGATTTTGATAATTTGCTGATTTAGACTGATTTTAGGCTGATTTTTGCATATCTGATTTTTTTAATTTCAACCAGTGTATAATAGTATCATTAAATTTTAACAATTTTATAATCCATTTATCTTTAATATAATCTAATAAATTCTTTCTTAAATTACTTTTATTTTGTATATTGCATCACTATTATATAATTTAAAGTATTTAGATCTTGAGTAAATCTATATAATTGAATAAGATTTTCTTTAGAATATTTATCTAATGGACTATGATATTCATAATGTATTTTTCACTAAAATATAAAACATTAATTTAAAAAGTAATTATTTAAATTAAAATAATTAATAATTTATATCTTATTTAAAAATTCTTTATTTAAATTTGATGATTTATCAAAACTTTTAAGAATTATATCAGTTTTGCTATTTTTTATCCAAATTTTATCTTTATATGAATATGATATAATAAATCCATCTAACTACATAACTTTATATATAAGGTTAAATCCACTTTTATTAAAATATTCAATATTTTCAAATTTATTATAAAAAATCCATTCTAATATTTGTCTTTAATTTTGAGTTTTCATTTGAATTTCTTAAATAAATTTATCAATAAATTCATTTTTGCTAGTCAATTAAAAAAATTTTGTTAAAATAAATTAGAATTACATTTTTTATATTAATCATATTCAGTATATTTTTTATTATAATTTAAACAAATTTCTTTTTTCTAAATAATTTTAAAGTATTAGTATTATAATTATAATATAAACATTAAATATTAAAATACAATACTTACTTAAATAATATATTTATTAAATATTTAATAAATATTTTATATAATTATTTAATTATGTTTAAGATAAAAGTATAAATAACCAAATAAAAATAACTTATTATCTATTAAATTATTAATTTTAAATATTTAATTAAATAAAATTTTAGATAAACTTAAATAATAATAAAAAGTAATATTAAATACTAATAATCAACAAATAGCTTACTATCTAAATTTTAAATAAAAAATTTAATTAAGTTTAAATTATAATAAAAGTATAATTTAATATTAATAATTAATAAAAATAACTTATAATCTAAATTTTAAATATATAATTAAAGTTGAATTTAAATTATAATAAAAATACATTAAAAATAAAAATAATTTATCATCTAAATTTTAAATAAAAAATTAAGTTATATTTAAATTATAGTTAAAAGTATAATTTAATACTAATAATCAATAAAAATAACTTATTACCTAAATTTTAAATAAAAAATTAAATTTTAGTTTAAATTATAATAAAATGTTTTAATACAAATAATCAAAAAAAATAACTTACAATATAAATTTTAAATAAATAATTTTAATTTAATTTAAATTATAATAAATATATTAATAATAATAAAAAATAACTTATCATTTAAATTTTAAATAAAAAATTAAGTTGAATTTAAATAACAATAATAAGTATGATCAAATATTAATAATTAGTTAAAATAACTTATTATCTTAATTTTAGATAAAAAATTAATTGAATTAAAATTACAGTAGAAAGTATAATAAATATTAATAATTAATAAAAAAAACTTTATATCCTAAAAATATTTTTTTTTATTTAAATAAAAATTTATATAAGTTAAAATTACTATAAAAAGTAAAATTAAATATTAATAATTAATAAAAATAGCTTACTAGCTATTATATTATTAATTATGAATTATTATTTTAAATACAAAATTTAGTAAATTTTAAATTACAATATAAAGTATAATTAAATGTAATAATAATAAAAATAACTTATAATCTAAATTTAAATAAAAACCTAATTATATTTAATCATAGTAAAAAAAATATAATTAAATATTAATAATCAATAAAAATAACTTACTCTCTAATAATAATAGATTTATTTAAATAAAAGATTTAAATGAATTAAATTACAGTAAAAAATATAAATTAATAAATTTACTTACTTTTAATAATAATTTTATTTATTTAAATAAAAAATTTAGCAAAGTTTAAATTAAAATAAAAATTATAATTGATACTAATTATAATAAAAATAATTTACAATCTAAATATAAATGTAAATTATAAAAATTACATTAAATTTAATTAATATAAATAATATGGATTGATTGCTAGGAAAATTAGTTTTGGGAATTTTTTAACAAAATTGAAATTTTTATTATATTTTAATTTTTGATATTATTAGATTAAATATATTAAGTTCTTAATTTAAGTTAAAAATTTCTTAGAATCTGATTTTCTTAGAAATTCTCCTATAGTAACGGTCATAAGTATCTGACCATCTCTAACTCCGATTACAAGTAAGTAAATTCAAAATTTTTTTTATTTAAAAAATACATAATCTACTAACTAAAATTAATACATTATATAATCACCATCTGACTCTATAAGTGCAGTTGTATGCTGTTAACCTTATGTTCAGCCTGTTAAACTTAGGGTAATTAACTTAATAATAGGGAGTAATGTGCGAGAAACTATTAAGTTACTATGAAATAAGTCCTATCACAATCAACCTTAAGTTTATACTTTTAGATGAGTAAATAACTTTAACAACTTGTAAACACAATAACACAATTGACACGTTGAAGGATTTTTAATATAAATAGTTTAGAAAGAGATTCCTTTATTATAGAGATTTATATCCTTAGCAATCCTTAACCTTAGATTCTAAGTTTTGAACTTGAATTATTGAGTTTATACTATTATCTCTGCCCTTTTGCAAGGACAAATTTCTATCCTATTTATACAAAAATACAATTATAAGAATTTGCTATCTAACACTAAACTATTTTATAATGATAAGATAAGTATTAAAGATAAATTATAATTTAACGATAACACTAATATAATAAATAATAATAATAAAATATAAAAATAAAATAAATAAAATAAAAATGTTAACTAAGTTAAAAATGCTAATGATGTTAATAATGTAGATCATTCATCAATCTTTGTAATGCAGTAAGATTAACTTCATATAGTATCAATACCTTTTCATGCTAGCTACCAAATTCACAGCAAGTATAGATGATAATCGATTCTATTCTTTTGTAAGTTTTTCCTTTAACCCTCTAATTGATTGAATTTATTTTTGTATATTAATTTTCATTAACCTCTAAACATTTTCTATAGGGTTTTGGTCTAAAGACATTGATGGCTAAGAAGTACCTCAATGCCATTTTCTTCCTTCTATTTTTTCACAATTTTTGATTGATGCTTTGGATCATTATCTTCTTACAAAATTCAATCTATGTTACTTTTACCAAAAAGTTTAGAGGTGAAAGCCAGAAGACCCTGCTTATGAATAGTTTACATAAATTTAGCATTATGGTTCCTCTAAAAGCAAAATAGTTTACCAAATCTAAAAGCAGAAAAACATCCCTAAACATGAACTTTTGGTGAATGCTTAACAAAACGAAACACTTTTTTTCTATCAGAAAACTGCCAAACCTTTTTTTTGATATATATAATTAGAGTTTTGGATGAGTCAAATTAATTCTTGAGTCAGATAAGCTGAGTCAAATTTAAATCAAGTCAAGTTTATGTTTTTTTGACTTGATGATTTGCGAGTTAAACTAAATTCAAGTCAAGTTAAATATTTAACTCGACTCAATTTAAACTTGACTTGATTTGAGTTGACTTGAGTTGACTCGAGTTGATTTGAATGATAAAAATCATTCAAGAAGAACGATAAGAAATTGTTCGACTTGAACAATTTTTTTTTATCATTCAAGAAGAACAATGACGAATTGTTCAACTTGAATGATTTTTTTTATCATTCAAGAAGAATGATGATGAATTATTCAAGAAGAACAATGATAAATCATTTAAGAAGAACGATGATAAATCGTTCAAGAAGAATAATAACGAATCATTCAAGAAGAATGATAACAAATTGTTTGCTCTCCTTCCCCCCTGATTTTTTCATTTTTTTTATTATTTTTTTTTAAAATTAAATCGAGTAAAAATTGAGTTGAGTTAAATTGAATTGAATTTAAAATTTATATAACTCAAATCAAATCAAATTGAAAGATTTATAAAATAAAATTGACTCAACTTGACTCAAAAAAAGAGAGTCAAATAGAGTTGATTTTTAAACTCAACTTGACTCAACTTATTCAGAACTCTATATATAATTAAATGTACTCTTATCTGTAAAAATAACTCGATTCCAATCAAAATTCTTATGTTTTTTTGCTTATTGCAACCTTTCTTTCGATGGTTTTCTTTAAGCAAAGGTTTAGAAATTTCATTACTAAACTTTTCTCCAGACTTACAAAGTCATCACCTTACTGTTTCTACACTAAGTCCAATACCTCTTTCTTCCATTTTTTCTTGTATTTGAATGGCTATTATATTATGTTCTTTCTCTGCCATCTTTATAATCTTGTTATCTTATTTTGCAGATGTTATACAAGGTTATTCCAGTCTTTCTGAAATACTTAGATTACAATTTTCATGATATCTTTTAATCTAATAAATAGCTGTAGACTTACTATAATATACCTGTTTAGCAATAAATCTAAAACTAAACTTTGGACCAGCTGGATGCTCATAAAAAAAGACAATTTCATATTGTTTCTCTAAAGAAAGTTCCATTTTTCAAGCAAAAGTTTGATAATCATCTAATTTTTTTTTGTATTATTGACACTTATAAATTTACAGGTGATCATGTATTGTATTACATTATATTTCTGGAAAATTTAAGGGGTAATTATATAATAATTTTAGATGATCTTGGGTGGTCAGATACTTATGACCATTACTGTAAAGTCTAGAAAATCGATTTCTCGCTAGAAATTAAAATCAATTCTACAAAAATTGAATCAATCAAAAATTGAATCAGAATCAATTTAATTGATTATCAAATAAAAAAATCAAATCTATTTATTATGATACAGTAGCATTAATTGACATTTATGTATTAAAAATGATTTTTTGCTGATCATTCACACTAATTTGCATAAATTATAGAGTATATTATGTTATGCTAATTGTGCTATCTGCTATCCTAAAAAGAAGAGATTTACTAATTTGATTAGCATTTATGTGCTAAGTACAGACCTCTGTCAAAAGTCTCCAGATGCCATCTTTCAGGATTTTCATACTAATTACATCATGTGACTGTAGAAAATTGTAGCTATATAATGTTCTAACCATTGTTTACTTAAATCAAACCAAATAAATACATATTTGATTTGTTTATTTTGATTTTAAATCAAAATAAAATTTTATCTTTTTAAAACAACGAAAATGTCTAAAGAATTAACAATAGAACAACATGATAGCATAATTTTTTACCATCAACATGGTGATTATTATCTAATTATTGCTATGGCTATTTATTGAGATCTATGAGCTGAAGTCAAGAAGAGTATCTGTGAAAGGAAAAAATTGCCTTCTAACTTTGCTCAATTCAATCAACATGTTATAAAGGCATAGAAACAAATTCTGATACAAAATATAGAAAATTTGGTTGATAATATGCTGCAGCGAATTCAGGTTGTGATTAAAGCAAATTGAGATCTGACCAAGTACCAATTATTTATTACTAAATGTGTAGCATATCGTATTTTAATAAATATATTAATAAATATTTTTTAATAAAATTTAAAAATTCCAAGTTTTATATTAAACCAAAAAATGTCCAGAGACTTTTGGTGAAGATCTGTATAAGGGTATTTTTTACAATATATTGAAGAAAAAAAATTTAGAAAATTTTGATGATCAGCTGAATTTGAATTTAGTAATAAACCCAAAACTAAAATAAATTTTTTATTGTATATTTTTAGCAATTTTGATAAAAAAAAAAAATTTAATAACTTCAGGAATATACTAACATAAAATTTTAATTGGAATTTGTATTGTAAAAAAATAATCAATTGACACTAACTAAAACCAATTTGTTTAGTATTTAATTAACTAAAATTGTATTAGAATTCAGTGGATGATTGTTCAAATTATTTTTAAATTTACATGTGATTCTGATAGCTAAATTGAGTTTTAATAATTACTAACATTAATTTCAAATACTAATTAATCACACTAACTGAAATTCTGAAATTTATTATACAAATAAATGATTTATTTATCCAAAATCAAAAACAAACTAATGCTAAATTTTTGAATAATCAGTAAATTGTTTTTTGAAACCTCTATTTTGTATTAACTCTATTACTATAAATTCAAAAATAGACTAATGTTAAATTTTAAATGATCTTGCAAATTATTTATTTTTAAATAAAAAATATTTTAGCAGAACATGAAAAAGGCTCATTTATTCTCTTATTACATATTTATCCTTATTTCTTTCTTTTTAAATTTATTTATTCTGCTATATATATCAGTAATAATATTATTAAAATAAAATTGATCCTTATTTGCTTAAAGAAATTCTTATATTTTTAAAACTTTTTTATTTATTTATTCGATTAAAAAATGGCTACTATTATGTAAAATAAACATAAATAAATACTTAAAGAAGCAGAAACAGCAAGAGAAGCAAATTTAACACAAAAAAAATTAACAGAAGTGAAAGTGATTCAGATTATGAAGCTAAAATAAGTCAATTAATATTTATAGAAGGAAGTAAAAATAATTCTAATGGTAAAGCTAAAAATAGCAATCATGTAATATTACAGGATATTACAATATCTAATGTTTCTGATATAATTATAAATAATCTTAAAGCAGATTTTCTAGAAATTAATAATAAGTCAAAAAGAAAACCCCTAACTAAAATTATCTAAAACAAGTTGGGTATAAAGATTCTTTAAGCTTAATAAGATAATATAAAAGCTATTTATTAAATTAAAGGCTATAGAAAAATGCTTTTATAATGCAGTTTTTCAAGTTTATTATTAACAAATTTATCAGGTACATATTATATTACCAAAGATATTGCTATAAAACATAATGAAGAAGAATTAAAAAATCTTACTTTTTCAATCAAATTGCATCACCTTTTTAAATAAAAATCTTTAACTAAAAATTTTATAGTATTTGTTATTGGAACAGTATAACTTTTAAGTATTATAAAAAATCTAGATTTCATTAATATGATAAATGGATTTAATAAATATTATAAAATTTCTTATACTAAAACACTTAAAATTGAATCTCAAAAATATGTGAAGTTGAAAAAGATACATTTAAAAATCAATTTTCACATATACAACATATTTCTTTGACATTAGATACCTGGAGTTCACTAGCACATTTACCTTATTTAGGTATTATTGCTCATTAAATAACATCTAAATTTAAACTATATAAAATACTTCTTAGTATAGCGGAATTACTATATCCATATGGTTCAACTGAAATTAAAGAGCATTTGTTAAATTTGTTTAATAAATAGGAGATTGAATCAAAAATAAGTGCTATAGTAACTGATAATAGTTCAAATGTAAAAAAAAGTATATAATAAATTAGGAATTGGTGAAAGAATCTCATGTACTGCTTATATTCTTTAGTTGAACATTGAAAAAGAATTAAATAAAATAGAATTATTAGCTGATAAGTATAAACATCTTATTATTTTTTTATTAGGAATAAAAAAGCAGCAATTAAAAGAATCATAAATTTATTTATATTACTAACAAGAAATATTACAAGAAACTGAAGAATTAGAAAAAGAAGTTAAAAGTCATATTTGTCTTGATGTTATAAAAGTAAATAATACAAAATGAAATTCAACCCTTTATATTTTTCAAAGACTTATTGTTCTTAAACTAGCAATTTCAATACTAAAGGCATCTTTAATGAGTGATACAAGTTCATATATTTGTAAAGAGGGTGAAAAATTAGAAGAACTTTATTCTACAGTTAATAAGTGAAAAATAATTAAAGAAATAATAGAGCTTTCAACTTCTTTTAAAATTATAACACATTTTTTAAGTGGTATAAAGTATCCAATAATTGATTTTGTATATCCAAATATATGTAATTTAAAGGATAGGCTTGAAAGTAATTTTACTTTATTGAAAACTAGTAGAGCAAAATATTGCAGTGATGCAATTTTATAAGATTTAATATCAATATAGAATTTTCCTCAAGATTTATATTTCAAAGGATTATTTTTTGATTCTTATTTTAAAAGCTTAGATTTTATTAATTCTCATAAAAAAAAAATAGTATTATTAATCAATTAAAAAAGAGTTTAAAATTTTTAAACAAAATGATAGTTCTATAACATTTGATAAGGATATAGATGATTTAACAATAGCAATGGAAAGTTTTTGGAAAAAAAAATAATAAAACTGTTGCATTAATAAAAGATGAATTCTAACATTATTTAAATGTATTAGAATTACCTACTCTTGAAGAATATGATCCAGTTTTATAGTGGTTAAACAATAAAAGTCAATATCTAGTATTACACAAATTAGCAATAAAATATCTTCATATTCCTGTTATGTTAGTTCCATCAGAAAAGCTTTTTCTGATGTTAAAAATTTAATCATATCACAAAGAATTTGTTTGGATTTATATCTTGTTAACCAGCTCATATTTTTAAAAAGAAATAAAATATATATAAATATATATAGAAAAGCTGAGATTGATAACTAATTACCAAATTTTTTTTATTTTTCTTTTATAAATATTTATAATGGTATTAAATAAATATACTTAAATTTCTATTATTAAATAAATTATTTATTATAAATTTTGTAAAAATGCAGTAATAACAAAAGTTAAAAATCAGTTTTTCATATTAAAATTGTGACTAACAAAATTACCTGTGCCTTAATGTTATTTTTTTTATGACACATAAATTCGATTAGTTCTGAGTATCAAAAATTAAAAATTGAATTCTAGAATCGAATCTTATAAAATAATTAATTGCAATTAATTAATTCTATAAATCAATTCTAATAATAGGAACTAATTCCAATTCCTATCCTTTACAAAGAGAGGTAGAAGTAGGCATAAAGTGTTTATTTTTTTTTTATTAATCTAAAAAAATAAATAAATAAATAAATAAAATAAAAAAAAAAATGATATACAATATGTCATAACATATGAAGTTTTGAATTTTCATAATTGATTTTTAATTTTATTTATGAATGCAAGATCTTTTAGATTGAATAAAAAAGAAATATTTGTTGAAAGAAAGTTGAATAATAGAGAAAGTACTTTTTCATGTTACTTTTATAAATTATTTGTCAATATATAAAGCAAAATTCTTCATTAATTAATTTTGTGTGATAAATAACCGTTAAGTTTTATATGCTAAAAATATTGTAAAGTGTTCTTTAGAATATTCTTATCTGTAATAATTTATGTGTTATATTCAGATTTTAATAGTGCATGAATTTAACAATTACAGAAAAAGAATTTTCATAGGAAAATTGATTCATCAATTGTACCATCAACTAAACCTCAAGTGAATAATAATAAAAATTGAATGATGAAAAAATTATTAATAATAGATTTACTGATAAGAAATAATTGAAGAAACGATTAATGAGAATGAACTTAAGAACTCAAATTATGCTACAGAAATCTGATAAATGTTTAAACAATAAGTTAGTTACTTTTTCATTTATGTTTAATATCTCTTCATTAAAATGACATATACTTACAATTTTTGAAATCTATATATACTTTAAATCATATAAAAATAAGTCTTTGTAAAAGTTTAAAGTCAAATTGATTAACTGCTATCCATCATTGGCAATGCATTTTTCAGTCATGCTATCTATTAAAATATTTCCTTTCATAAAAAAACTGAAAATATGAACTTACTTTTTTCTTTTGTATTCATAGGTATTAGATAACAAATTTAGTCTACAATAATTATTTTTACAATACACAGAAAATTAAAAATTAATATGCTACCTACGTCTACACTATTTTTATTAAATAATATTATTTGAAGATTTAGTGTGATTTTTTTATTGAAAGCTTAATTAATACAGAAGAAATTGAGATACTTATAAATATATATTTAATTAGCCAGATCTCATTAAAAAAAATTGTTTATAAAAGAAATCACATACATGATCATAATAATTTTAATTATCATTATTTTAAAAGTTTTGATCTTCTCTAAAATTGCATTTTTTTTTGAAATATAATAATAATAAAATAATATATTATATCTGTCATTATTATTGTATAAATCAGTTTTTACTTTTTGTTATTTTCAATTAAACTGTCAAGACATTTCCATTCTTTAGTAGATTTTATGATCAATTTACATTTAATATATTAGATATTATAAATCTTTAAAAACTTTTGTATATTGTATAGTTTAAATGTATGACAGAGTATAAACAATACTGATCTAGTAAATGATGATTCATTCCAGTTGTCATGTTTTTAATTATAAATTATAATATCTTAAATACTTTCTTCATAAATAACGATAACTAATAAATGATTAAAGAATATATTGTAAGTAATTTAAAAATGGTAAATATATTAATATGAATTATTTTTTCTAATTACTCCCCTCAAAGTAATTATTGTAAATGTACTCTCTCCCCTGTAAATTAATTTCTATATTACATTCAGATTTTAATAGTATTATTTTAAAATAATTATTGCAATAAATTATAATAAAAAACAGAAATACTTTATTTAATTAAAAAAAATCAGTTTTCTTATGAAAATTTATTTGTCTTTTATTTTTGATTACAAATAATAATTGTTAAATTCATGCATCATTAAAATCAGAACACTTTACGATAATTATAAGACATTAATAATAGATACTCAGAAAAATTCTTTTGATTTTGAAAAATAATAATTGCGATCTTTATTAATTATATGATTACCGAATTTTAATTTTACTAGTCATATTAGCTACTTTTTATATTTATTTATATTGTTATATGAGTCGATTATGAAGTCTACTGACTGAAAAGTAAACTTTAATGTGTATAGTAATGTTTTAGGTATCTGAAGGATAACAATTTATGTTAACAATCCTAAAGTCTTATTAGCATCAATAGAATTATCAATGTAAATCATTACAATCAATATATATGTTTATATAAGAGAGCAATAATGATGGATTGGGTTTTATGTTACGAGTTTAACTAATTAAAGTTATAAGATAAAAGGTTGGTTTATT